TTTTTCTCACAACAACAACAACAAGAAGCCAAAGAATCAGATTACATACTCTTGGCTGTTTTTATTACTGTCATTGCTCACTGACCCACATCTTGCTGTTAGAGCATGTGTCCTATACCCGATGTTCCCCAGTGTTATTACCCATATTTGACTAAATCAACTCGTGGTTTATGCAACCATACTAAGTGCTTTCCACTAATTCAAGGTGAATTTAAACTCCCCGTACCAGGGAAACATTCCAGTTGCCTCCTCTGGGCAAAATTGTGTCTGAAGCTGCAAGAAAACATTAGCATAACTGCAGTTTGGTCACAGGAAACTTTACCCACAGCTCTTTACACCTTCTGGAAATGCAAAATGGGCATTTTCCAATGAACCACTCCCTCCTTTGCCCAGCTTCCAGCCTCTTCAGCAGAGGCTCTCTTTATCAAATATTTTAGAAAAATACTCTTTCCATCACCCACCGCAGCATATGCCACATTTAATACCTGTGCACAAAATGCACATTCTGCTCTGGACCACAGAGTCCCTGGAAGAGAGCCACACCAGGCTGTGGGATCTGGACATGTGATTTCAGCTGCCTGTCCTTGTGCTGGGGTAGTTTGAACACAGCCCCCAGATGCAGTGCCAGGCATGCCACCAGGCCAGAGGAACAGACCCTGCTCCCTCTCCCATCAGGGACAAACACCTCCAGCTCCATCCTGCAGCCTTTCAGGAGGTGAAATGCATGGTGAATACTCCTTCACTCTCACTATCCAAAGAGAATGGAACAATGCTGGAGCAGAAAAATGCATGGAAAGCAACATAGCTGGGAAAAATAGCTGGAGATTTCTGGATCATCACATAATAATTCAGCAGTAAACAGCAGCTGGGTGGGTGATTTCACAGAGCCGTGAATTACACACAGCTCTTCAGAGAGCCAAAGGATGCCACCACCACCCACCACACCAGCCTCCACAGTCACCTTTCTGCTGTTCCTGCATTTACTCTGGTGCAATACACCTACAGGGAAAATTACACCCTGTGTTCTGTTACAGCTACTTAGCACTACATGATGCCCACAGCACACACTGAACATCTGATCAACATTATCCTTAACCCTGTCAGTTTTCTTTCTGAAGAAACTTGCAGAAAGGGGCTGACTGAAAAACTTGACAATAAGGGGATTTGTTAGCAGCAGTCCCAAAACAGAACACTTTTATTAAAGGCAGAGCACCTCCATCAGGGATCAGGTTTCCCAACGGCTGGAATTACACTTTTCTCTTCAAAGATACAGAACCTGAAATTTGAACCACGAGCAAACACCCAGGCTTTTAATATTCACCTCAAATGACTTTGTCTTTGAAAGGAGCACCAGCTGTCAGACACCACTGACCCGAATGCCTTTTCCCCTGCCTGAGGCATTTGCATTTCACTAACCACGTCTTTCCATGATTTTAAATAACAACTTGTTAGTCTACTGGTGTTACCATGTGGAAGAAAAGCGATGCCTTCACCAGGAAGTACTCCGGTGGAGCAAGCTTTCAGTGAACTGCATTATGCTGAATCAAAAGATCAGGTAAAGGCTAAAGTTTGCTACAAAAACAATCAGCACCATTTGGGATTGCTGCATACAAAAGCTGATGACCTAGCAAAGCCAGATCGTTTTTTCTGCACATTGTATCCCTCTGAATCACTACTGCAAAGTGTAAAAAGAGAAGCTACCTGAGAGGGAAGGATCAAGCATAGCATGAGTCAAAGACCCAGCCCAACAATTTGTTAGCAAAAATACCATGATTGTGATGCAAGCACTAACTTGTACCTAGCCCTTTTCTCTTTAGAGAAAACTTTTAGTATTGACCATGCCTCTGCCAGGAAGAAAAAAAAGCAAACCCACAAAATTTGCAGTGCCATTTGCATCCTGCCTTCTGATCTGAAGCCAAACAAGCTGCCATGTTGGCCCAGGAGCACTTGCCTCCTTGTCTCCTTCCAGAACTAAATTTCCTGTTTCCTTTCTTACCACACATGTAATATTCAGCTTCTTCTTGAGATGTCCTCTCTCTGACCTCACCTCCATTCCAAAGCAATCCTGAGCCAGACATGCTTGGAGCATGTGACCGGAGGATTCCTTACCCCTGGTATATAAAACCTTATTTGTCAGCAAAAAGAAAGAGGAGGGGAAAGAGAATCCATGTTACATCCAAACAGCAAGAGTAATGCATTTCTACAACAGTTCTTCTCTCACCATACCACAGGCTTCACAGCATGGCAGTGAACTTGGAGCTTAGATTTTATAAATGTTTGAGCATGCTTTTATGTCCTATACTGCTACCCTGACTTCTCCTTCCAGCAGTGGAGGGACTGTAATTTCCCTAGGAAAGAGCAAGGGAAACATGCTTTGGATACCATTTCAGCACACACTGTGAAGAGTTCACAGCACAGGTCTGCAATACTGAAATAGGATGGAAGCAGATGGCACCTCAGCCTCGAGGTCACCCTGTTTTTTATTTTTACTTCATGTTCTTCATACCAGAAAGATATATTTAGACTGAAAGTGACTAAAGTCTAAGCTTTTTACTGAAAGAAAGTAGCATGCCACATTTTGGCATGGAAAAAGAATTCATATTGTCAAATCTCTTTTGCTCCTTTCTCAAACCCCCTCAGAACCTGTTTTTGTACTCACTGCCAAAATGAACTTCTTGTTATCCCTTTAGTAAATTAAGCATTCTTATCACAGTAAATAGTCTTATGAGCACAGGTGGTTTACTGGTTCTCAGCTAGCCCTCTGGTTTTGAAACAAAACCAAAGTGTCTTTGCTCAGCTTCCCTTAGCCCATGGGTATGGTAAATGAGACTGATAGTTGTGCAGATTTAATCAGTGTATGCACTATGCAGCCTGATAATGAGGATGGCCTGGCAAGAGCAAACAGAGCTCTGACTGCAAGAAGATTGAATCAAGTCTGGGTTACAGGAAATAAGATTTTGCTAAGTCGAAATGTAAAATTTGTCTGTGTGATGGTTAACTAGATGATTGTAGTAAAATATTACCAGCCTTCCTGTAAATGGTATATAAGCACATGTAGTGCTCAGTAAAAATTGGATTCTGACCACCATTCAGTGTCCTCATCTCTCTCTCATCATCAATACATGGGTGCATGCCCAACATGGACATGCTTTTAAAATATGGCTCATCTTACATCCCCAGATTTCAAACCCTGGAAATGTATGCAACAGCTCAATTCTGAACTTCTAAGCCCTCTGAGAAGGAAGAGACTAGGGGACATCAGAGCAAAACCAAGCATGCTAGTTCTGTTATGAGTAAATTAATTGTTAAGCAAAGTTTGTTTGGTCTTGCCATTTGTCTCTTTTATTCGTAGGCCTTCTGAACTTTTGAACTCTTCCATGACCACATTTAGCTTTAAAGACACTTCCATTTTTATTTCGTAAACCCAGCTCTGCACTATTGGCCTAATTCAGCTCCAGATCTGAACTAAGAGGGCCATTCTTATCAGCTACTGAGCTCACAGAGTAAAAGAACCAGACCTTTGAAGGGGGAAATGCACGGTGAAATAGTTTTCAGTCTCTTTTGCACTTTTAATTGCCTGTCCTTCATTGCTGTGCCAGCTGGATATTGTATTTTTTCGTTGTTTTGACCACACTCACCTACCTCATGAAAATGAGGAGCTAGTTAAAAAAGCCTTTATCAAGTCATGCTTGTTTTCAGTTGATCTCTAACCCGGCCATTGCTAAAATGTGGCACTACAAAGATGTAGTGGGATTCCTGCAAATTGGTTGGCCGTATAAAGCTTGCTCCTCTGCATTTCCAGCTCGTTCTTTATCCTTGCAAGATCTTCACTACAAATAGGACTCTATGGCATTGTTCAAGATAACCGGGTACAAGCAGGCAGATTCACATCGACTTCCTCTGGGGGAAAATACTGCTGTGTGAGACAGAAGCTTTTGTAGCTCTTCTGGAAGGAGGGAAAACCAGGAAGACTATGGCTGTTACTAGAATTAAAAATGAAAAAATACTACAGCTGTACTGCCTAGACTTAAAGGAAAGAAGATCTATTATTGACAAATAAACATACATAATATTGTTCAAATTGTTTTATCTTGAAGCTTTCTAGAGCAGTAGCACTGCTAGAACACTCAAGCTTTGCAAAATGTGCTTTATTTTTCTTTCTACAATGAGGACACCCTACAAGAGTGCAGAGAAACCACAATTATGGGAAGCAAGTAGCAATGCAGAGGTTGGCTTTGATGCTAGAATTTCACCTCAGAGATTAACACACCCTCTCAAATGAGGTGGGGAAGGTCAAGAAGGAAAACAATTAAGTTTATTAAGAAAGACTCTAAGTGGTAGGCTTACAGCAACTGAAGTAATTCTTAACTCAGGCATTTCTTGTGGATGGAGACACATATTTGGCAAGTCTAGCATATATAATTACTCAAAATTATTGACTAAGGTACTTTATTGCCCAACAGTGATATGCTCCTAATCATACAGACACAGCAAACTGAAGATCTCTTCATTTACATCAGGCAACAGTCCCAGCATCCAGAAGAAAGACACCTCTGTAATAGCTGCACCAGGAGCTGTGCAGCCCAAAAGCCAGGGATGACCTACATGCTGGTGCTGCAAAGAGGCACCGTACGACTCTTGCTGATGCCTTTGGTGTTGTCTCGTTCGACACTGGAGTGCAAGTAACTTCAGCCACCACCGTATTTTTTACCACTCCATCTCACAAAACTAGTTACAGGGGGGAAAAAAAGGGCGGAACTCTAAAAAAAAAAAAAAAAAAAAAATTTAAGACCTCTTAAGATGAAACCTCGGCATCCTTATTTAGCTGCTGCCGCGCGGAATGACGATTCCTTCGGCAAATAAAGGACTGCTAATGAAGGATTCCCCGACTCCCTGCGGGCGGGGCCGTGCGCTCGCTGCCCGCCCTGCCGCGCCCGCGGAGGCGGGCGGAGGGTCGGGGCTGGAGCCGGGACCGGAGCCGGGATCGGGACCAGAGCCGGAGCCGATGGCGGCCGCCGTCCCGCCGGGAGCCGTGGAGCTGCCGCAGCTGGTGAGCGGGGCCGGGCTGGGTGCCCCGGCTGCGGGGCCCTTGCCTTCTGCTTCCCCCCTGTGTTTATTTCACCTTCCCCGCCCCTCCTCCCTGCAGGCGGAAAATCTGCTCTGCCGGCTGCAGGAGAATTTTCAGGCTCTGACGGAAAAGTTGACGCTGAGGAATATCCTCTTTGGAGCGTGGGGTACCCGCGGCTGGATTTCGGATCCCGCGGCTTGGGCCCCCCTGGGAGCTGATGGGCGCGGGAGGGGTCTCTGCTTTTAACAGCGGGATGGGCTTCTTTTTTAAACATCAAATTAGCGTCTAATGAGTGACGTGGCTAAACAGCTATGACGTAAAGGCACCTGACTTCCCCCCCTCTCCCCCAGCTTGTTTATATATCCATTTTTCTAAGAAAGAAATCCTAAAAAAATTGTTTCACTACAAGTAGCGAGGTAGTCTCTATGAAGCAATTCTGGCTTTCAAGTAAAATAAGCATCGAATTATGCGTAAAGATTTTGAAGGTGCATTTTAAAAAGCATCCATCTCCAAAAATCCTACTCAAAGGAGCCAGAGTTTAAAAGCGGCTGTTGGCCTGAGCGTGACAAGATGAGCCCTCAAAAGGAGAAAATCAGACCTGAAGGGGCTCTGAGCTTTCTTATTACATATACTTAGAGAAACTACCTCTTCTTTCTGAAGCATTTATTAATTTTTTTTACAGAAACTTGACCTTTCAGGAAGCAGCTTCCTGAATAATGTTTGGGTAACGCTCATATTCTGATTGTGTAGGCTAACTGTATGCTATCACCTAAAATAGTTCCTCAGAAAGAAAACAATCTCTTACACAGTTCACTCATAAGTATTTGCAAAGGCCTTTGGTACTAAGAATTTGAATGCTTATCTTTCATAAGATTCGGTAGTGTTCAATACCACCTTCTGCATGCTTCATTTTGCATTAAACGTGATTAAGTAAAAGGCTGACACATCTGAAAGAAAGCTGCTTGCTCTTCTTATGGAAGAAAAAAACCCGTAAAATTGTAGAACTCTTGTTTATAAATATATTATCTTTAACTTTTTACTGGAAGAAATGGGCGAGCGCATCAATGACCTTGAGAAGCGCGTTGCTGACCTGATGACAGAGGCTGGGGTAGAAAACAGCGATGAAGAGTTGGGAGTAAAGACATTTACTTAAGTTTTTCTGTGTTTTGTACATTTCCACTTAGTTTTGAATGAAGGGCGAGTAATGGTGTTGACATATTTAGTATACCTGCATTTTCTTGGATTTGAAAGTGTACTTTTTAAAAACATGTTTAATATACCTTGGAAATTTTTTTTGCCACGAGCCAAAGAATGCGACCACTTTTACAAAAGAAAAACGGCATCTTGCTGCCTCTGTTCCAGCTGAGTGCCATATACAAGGGGCTAGTGCCAACTCATCCCAAGTGTGTAAACTGAGGCTGTTCATTCATAGTGAAATGTGTGTGGCTTGAAGTACTCCTGCCCACCATTCCCTCAGGTATGCTAACCTAGCTGAGGATTCTCACTGGTATAAATTTATTTACCTCTGCTTTTAAACCTCCTACGGCCTCCCAGTGTGGCTTGCAGCACACCTCTCACACACACTCACCCCAAACACAGCAGTAAATTACAGTCAATCACTTTATAATATAAAATCATGCTGCATTTTGAGATTGCGTTCTGGATTTTATATCAGTCTGTTGCAAATGCCCTCCCTGATGGATGCCTGACTCTGTTCTTAGTATTTATGAGGCAGCACTGCTTCCATGTTCTGTGGATGCAAGTGATGTTGTCTTTCTGTTGATGCACACTTTCCTGATTCAAATTGAGACACATCAGTTATTCTTGTCATTGGAACTTCTTACCCAGTGAAAGACAAGGATGTCTGTATTGTGAACTAATTTAGGAATCTGTTCATTCTGAAGCCTTTTAGACAAGGTTCGCAATAATTTTCAGAAATGCAGAAAGATAATCCACAAAGATGTATTTAACTATACGGAGATCTTCCTACCTCCGTGCTGAATCACGTTCATGAATAAATCACTAACCTACTTATTCACTGTATCTTTGCAGCACTGAAATGAGGATGTGCTCGAGGAAGATTAAAGGCAGAACAGCATGGCACTGACTCCAAGATTTTACAGTCAGGTGTCACACTGACAAAAAAATGTTAAGGGAAAATAAATGTGTTTGCATCATGTCATAAAAGAACCTTGAAAAAATTTTAAACTATTGCCCCAGGAAAAAATAGAAAGCTGGATTTGTTCATCTAAGTGGGGCACTGTATTTCCTGGAGCTGAAAAAGAAGTGTTAGTTTCAGAGAGGTCAAAGCCACTACTTTGGATAGAAAACTATATCCTATATAGTGAACTTACCCCATCATAAATGTTTTCAATGTATGAAAATGTATTTATTTTAATATTAAAATGTGTTGCCTTTTTAGCTTGTATGTTCTTAGAATAAACCATTCTATACTAAAAAAAAGGGCAGTATTTTTAAGCTACAACTGCTCAGTTGTTGCTCTTGGCATAAGCCCACCCAAAGCTGTGCACACCACTGCAGATAACATCACCCAGGTATTTATATTGTGACATTTTCAGTTCTCTAATGCTAGCTGTTTTGATGAAAACAGTTTATTTTATTTAAAGACCTGGAAATAGATGCAGAATTCTAGTTACCAAGCATGTCCAGAAGAAATTGGTAGTCAGAAAACAGGACATCTGCACTGACTTTCAGGTGGTTGTACACCAAAACATTGGTATTCTTTACAGGGAAGATTTACTTTGAAATATAATAGGAACCTTTTACCATAATGCAGAAACTGAAGCATTGCCAGGTTAACAGAATACCTCAGCTAATGAGGGAGAAATGCTTCTATTACAGCCTTCGTTAATAGCAAGAAATCATTCCAACTAATGCTTTAATGAGTGTAGACTTGCACGTACTGTCAGACTGGGGGGAGAGGGTGGTATGCTGGAGAAATTGGCCAACAGGACCTTGATGAAGTTCAGAATGCCAAGCTGGGCTGGTGTGAGAGGCTGGCTGGCACTGCTTTGCAAGAGAGGGAACTGGTGGAAAGGCTGACTGAGTGAGCAGGGTGCCCAGGCTGCAGCAAATCACTGGTCAGTATTAGCACAGCTAGAGCCAGCAAGTAATTTAGCTCCATTCACCTCGCTGGCAGACCACACCCACAATTATTGTGTCAGTTTGGGGGCTCCCCAGTTGAAGAGATGCAGTGGTGTGAGGGAGCTAAAATACGGCACCAAAATATGGTGGAGTACAGCAGATACAAGAAACCTGTTGGTCCAGCCTTAAGAAACAACTGTGGCTTCTTGCTGCCAACCACTGGCCCGTGGCAGAGCATGGGGAACAGACACTTGTTGAAGGTGTTGTACACCAGGGTCACTCGACACAAGCTGGTACACGGAAAATTCCAGCGAGATGCAAGGAATACAATTTTCAACTATGAAGGTACTCAGACAGCAGAACAGGCCTTCCAGAAAGGCTGAGGAATCTCCAACCTTAGAGAACATGGAATCATCAAGGTTGGAAAACACCTTGAAGATCATCTAGTCCAGCCAAGATACCAACACTGGACATAATCCTGGGCAACCTGACCATGTGGAGCTTACTATGACTGGGAGGCTGACAGTCCCTTCCAACATAAATGACTGCAAAATCAATAACCACTCTAAAGATTAACTTCAGCAGAAATTGAGACCCTTTTGTTTTACTTCCTTACACTTGCTAAATCCTCTACAAAATGCTTGGTAGTAGAAGTAAATTCTTTGTTTTGTAACAAATTGGATTTTTTCTTTCTGGAGAAAGAAGCTAGCCTGGTTTGGTTTTAATTAATCCTGTAAATATGCATGTACCAGTTTAAAAACCAAACAAAGCCCCACACAACATCAACTCCATAACCATAAAAATTGTTAGAAATGTAAATGGAAATTTCAAAAGCTATGCCACAGTGGAATCCAATCCAAGTATCCCAAGTACATGTGCATTTTGGTATACCTTTAGACAAACTGGAGGTAAAGTGACAGCACAGCTTGTGGTTTCCTCAGCTGCTGTGTGCAGCAAGCTCCAGATCTGCAATTATGCTTTGAAGCTGCAAAATTCACCAAGTGCTTCAAAGTTTGAGTGCACAACCACCATGGAAAAAGAGTCTGGCACCACAGGTCTATTAGGCTGATGGAGGTGTGGTTGGTGAGCAAAGTCATGGGAGATGTTTTCTCCGAGTTCTGCTAAATATTAATAAATGCACCTTGGTACTTTATTCCCATTTTTAGTGGATACAGAAGACTAATATGATACACAAGAAAATATTGACAAAAGTAAGAAGTCTTCATCTTCAACATTATAGATTTGCATCCCATTACACCTGGTTTAATTCTCAAATTTAGCTGAAAAAAAATTAAGGTGGGTAAGTGGAACTATATAAAAAAGCTATAGTATCATTTTCCCAGGTATTTGTATAATAAAAGCAAACGAAACCAGTTGAAATGTTTTTCTGCATACAGGCTTTTTGTGTCCAAAAATATGTAATACCAAAATGACAACAAAGGAGAAACTCTTTAAAAAAGAAAAGCCCAAAATTCAGCCATAGTATTACTGTAGTCAAGACAGTTCCAGGCTTTGAGTCTTCTACTTCTCAAACAGAATTCAAGCCTTTTAAATAATTCAAATTATTCTCAAAATTCAAGGACTTGTAGGGTTTTTTTCTTTTAATATACATATATGTACACACATACACAGAAATAAATTTAAGTGGACATAAGATTATGAAAAAAGGCAGCCCAAAGAAACATCAATATCTGTATTTAGTGGAATAATCTTTCGGTGATACCACCAAACCTCGACCTTTGCGGGCTCCTCTATAAACAGTTTCTATAATGTCAATCATCTCCTGCTTATCTTCCATTGCCCAGTTGATCTTGTTGTTATTACCTGTACCTAAATCAATCATGATGTGTTTGTTCCTTTAAAGAGGAAGAACAAAAAAAACAAGTTAATATGGTATTATAATTCAGAAAGAAATCTTATACCCCCCCAATGCTTTGTAGGATCAAAGGAAGCCCTTGTAACATTAAAAGGTTTGCAAAACAAGCCTTAAACGAAGAATATCCACCCCTCTCACTCAAGCGGACATTGTACTGCCAGATTTTAAAGCAAGAATAAGGACTCCAAACATGCCCCCAAAATGGCTACTCAGTACAATTATCCTTCAGCATATTCCCTATTGTATTTCTTTCCCACTACTGTCTATCTCTGGAGAGACAGTCACGCTTGTCAGTACAACATTTTATGCCACCAATGTAGAAACCTTAACTCCAAAAAAACCTTATTACTTTTGATTTATCTTGAAAGCAAGTTTGGCAAGCTTGACTGTTGTATTACTACAGTATTCTCTACAGGAAGTTTGAGATTTAAAACTAAGAACAATAGATGATAAATCCAGTTTTCACTATCACTGGTTTGCACTCTATTAAACACTGTTACCAGACTAATTGCCATTTTCCTATAAAATCAGTTTACTCTTCTATAGAGCAATGTAAACATAGGCATCAGTGTGCTATTTATATATATATATATATATTAAAATCAGTTTACTCTTCTATAGAGCAATGTAAACATAGGCATCAGTGTGCTATTATGCATTTGGAAATGAACTTCTGAGACACTGTATTTGACAAACAAAGTTTAAATGAGTTACATTCCAGAACCATCACATACCTGAAGAAAAACATGACAGTACAGGGATCGTACAACTCATACATCTTATTGAAGTCTGGTACTTCAGTGATGTCCACAAGATAAATAACAGCAAAGTTTTTAACCTAAACAGAAGAAAACAGGAAATACAAAAGCAATATATATATATATTACCAATTAAAAGACATAAGCTTTCATTATTGTAACATTTATTTTCCAAATTATTAAGTCATAAAATCAGAATAAACAGCCTTGCTTTTAATGTCAACCACAATAATCAATTAACATGGAAAATATTTTTCAATATAGCCAAGAAGCTTCACATCCAGTGTCAGCTGGAAAGATACTATGCTAAATCAACAGCCAGAGAAACAAATGCCCTTTATATAGAACTGAGAACTCAGTGATATGCACAGCTCCAAACAAGCAGAATAACTGCTTTGTGCAAGCCAAGCTGACACATTTTGCCTTTGTCATCAGCTGCTTATAAACTTCAGAAAATTAATGATCTACAATGCCCTGGTACTTGCCTCCAAGCATTCTTCCCCTCTATAACATCCAATTTGTCTAACAAGACTCAATAAATGAAAAGGAAACTTATGATTTAAAGACTGGTAGCTTTTTTGAGAGGTGCAAAGCTAAAACTTAAAAGTGTAATTGCTAAAGAAATAAGACCTTGATTAGAAGCTATTGTCTGGACAATCCTGGTAAAACTGGCTTTCATTTTGCAGAGTTACTCAGTTAGATGCAAAAGAATCCCTCCCCTCTAGTGTCACAGTCAATGCCTTCATTCCTGCAAGAAAACTATGTCACATTTTTGTTTCCTAGATGTAGCATACTTGTCATTAAGTGAAATTAGGGGAAGTTTTGGTTTTTAAATTTACCTCATAAGTGCACAGTAGAAATTAACACATTCACACACATTACATTCTAAGTCAGAAGTCACCCAAACTGGACAAACATTTAACTGTAAGATATATTATCAAATGGTCATGCACTACACCAGGAGTGCACAATTGTGCCTTCTCACCCTCAGTTACCTGCTAACACAATTTTGGTCCCTCCTATTTGACTGCCTAGAATTACCAGCCTGAGGTTAACACACATGGTCTAAAATCTATGACAAACTCACTGTTCATGACAGTGACTCCCACTTGTTAATTTTGCTATCAAAAGTCTGGAAATGCTATTATGAGTATAATATCTGCCTGATGGAACAATATTTTATTTTAATTTACAGAGCAGGATTAGTTTATATGAGAAAAATACGATATATTGTGTAGCCTGTACGTAGACATCCTAGCAGGCACTTTACTGATATAGTATGGAGATGTTTATTTACGAAAAAAAACCTCAGAAGTGCAGAGTAAATAAATTTTTATGGACTTCTGCTTCAAGACAGTTTCAAAATTATAAAAAATAATCACACTTCAAGAATGTAAATAAGTATTACCAGCAAAGAAAGTAAAATCTCTTCTGGAGTGAAACAGCATTTAAAGTTTTTACTGTGCTTTTATGGAGCCAGTTAAAGTCCTAGAGTCTGTCAATATTCTAATGCAAACTTCCCATTTAAGCCACGATCTAAATCAGGCAAGAGGTAAAGCCTTGTAAACTAAAACAGTCATAATATCAAACCCTCTGAAGGGATCCTTCATACCCATTTCAATTTTACTTAAAGACTTGTAAGAACCTTAATGGGATGTTCAGGGGCAACACAATTTAGCTGAGAAGTGACTGAAGCCACTCCCTGGTGAGCCCCAGCAGGCCAAAGACAGTTGTGGGGGTTTCGGTCCTTTTTTCTGAAAACAAAACACCTGAGGAGCCATTTTCATTTTATCCTATCATTACTTCTTCCACCCTGCTGGCATTTTTAGCATCAGCAGCACACTTTCACCATGTGGGGAAATTCCTACAACACATTCAGCAATTTTGACAGAGCGCACCATCTTTGAATAATTAATTAATTTGGAGCTTGGAAAATTATTTTAAGGTAAACCTAGCATTAATAAAACATTCTTGGGACCTGTTTTGTTTGGTGAAAGATTAGTTCAAGGAGATTTACATGTTGCACCAGAATACCACTCCAAAAGCACTCCTAAACAAAAAATATACTTCCAAGAATTCTGTACTCCAGATAGTACTAGAACAGAAAAAAACCCTTTTAAAGTTAGTTTGACATTATATTAGTTTAATTTAATTGAGTTGTTGCAGAACCAGAAATGCTTGTCACTAGCAGTGATTGTCAACAGCTTAGGATTTCATACAAGAGAAATAGACTATACAAATCTTAATTTGTTATATAAATCTTACTAGAAAGGACTGGACCACTCAAATCACCTTTGCACAGCACACGTGCAAGTCATCACCAGAATCCAAGCATCCAAGACATTAATTAAGTCTTCTTTCTCTCTGACCTACTTTTATAGAAGTCAAACTGATGACAATCTTGCCTGCCGAAAAGCTCATATTAAGTCTAAAGCAGACCTTAAAGCTGAACTCAAATTTGAATTCAAAACTTTAGAAGTGGCTGTGTTCTTTACCCCTTGCTTTCCTAATTTCAAATTTGGCAAGATCACCATTCCAAAACGAGTTAGCTTGCAAGCACATTGAATGAGGGTCTGCTTTGTTTAGAGTGAGTGTTTGGACACTGGCTGCCAAGGATAGCAGCAGGAGATTGGGATTCAGGCCTGAAGAAGGATTAGATAAACACATGGAAAGGGTGATGCAGAATAACTGCAGTGGCCTATTTAATGTTTAGGGGCTGGACAATTTAATGTGCCAGACTGTGCAAGCTTGTCACCAAGAGGTATTTTATTTCAACACAAGACAAGCCTTGCAGAGACTCAAATGTGTCTTTTTGCACAGTATTGACAAGTTTTAGAGCCTGAAGAAGCAGTTCCTGTCTCAGACACAATATTGGAGCCAAGACAGCAGCAGTACAGAGCAGCATCTGAGCCCTCTCCACACACAGCCAGCTCTAATTCACAAAGCTTTAGCTTAGGCTTGGCTTTAAGCAAAAGCAATGGAAGTATTTATAGATTCAGACTGCTATGGATGTGCATGGTCTGTGGAGACAAACCAAAGGTTGACTTTTCCCTGTTGGGACATGAATCCATTGCTCAGACAGAGCTGTCATATGAAAACTTACATTCCTGTACAAAACCAGCTTTGCTACCCTGTCAAGGCAGTGGTTGCTAACAAGTTCTCTTTTTGACTTTTGGGTTGTAACTGAGGATACAGTATGGACACCTCAGAACAAGAATAAAATACAACGCTAAACAAGCAAACCCCACTAAATACAAGCAGTTGCAGTAGTTACAACGGAGAGTACACTGAGTTTGTTAATATAAACCAAAATTTTACTGTAGAGATGATATGAAAAAACCTTTAGAAATTGAACACATAATAACACAAGTTTATTCTGAAAGTGCTTAACCTCATAACATACACTAAATACAGTAAATTTGTTGCAATAAGTCAACTGCTTTCTGAAGAACAATAAAATCAAAACTCTAGTGAGAGACCTTCTTCAGGGCAGCACCTCACTCATGCAACAACTGAAGACAAAAGCATTTTCAGAGACAGCTATTAACTATTTCTGACACTCCTCACTTCCTTCATCTGTCTTTCAATTCAAAACTTTCTCTGCCTTACCAGGCTGTTGGAGCTGCTCTTCATAGGGACAGGGTAGAGTAGGAAACCTAAGTCAAACAGCACAGCATGGTTTCAAAGTTTTATGACTTGCTTTCACAGGCTGGGCTTCAATTTTGCTGGTTTTCCCCCTTCTCCCCAATAATGGCAGCTTCATAAATCAGCCCAATCAATCTACATTGCTGAACAATTTTCTACATGACCAACATTTCTACATTTGCATGTAGAAAACCCAGAAGTACATTACTGCCTAGCCACAGTTACAGGTTGTCCTGATACTTCACAGAACTGTATCTGCCTGCGGACTGCTATGAAATCCTTTAACTGAATGGCTCAAGACCATAAAGCAGAGAAATCTATAGAACTTTTAACATCAAATGAAGGTTCTGTATCCAGTCTTCATGAAGATCACACACTTTGCTAGCAAACACAGATGTAGGAAAAACCATATGCCATGGGACTCATTTGTCCTCTGAAGTTCTCCTCACTGATTTCCTTCATTAACGATATCCTTCTAGAAAATAAATAAATTCATTCCTACAACATGAGTGACACAGAAATATGATTAATGACTAGGATGAATGACAAAAATCGTAAAGTTTCTTGAAATTTCTGTCAGAGGTAAGTAATACTCCTTTTTTTTTTAGTTGTTAAGATTTCAGCTGCCTTTGAAAAGCAAACCTTACAGCCTAAACACCTAAGGAAATCTGATACAAGATCCAAGATTCCATCTTCTCATCTTCCTAACCAGTTTCTAGACAGTCTTTTTTTCTGTTTAGAAGAACAGAACACTACTTTATGGACAAGAAACACAGGAAAAAATACAAGAACTTAGACTAGCTTTTGCAACAAATGACTCGAATTGACAGTGGCTGACAGATTTGCATTACTGAACTGAACGGAGCAAGTACAAACTCAAAAGTCTGTACTGGCAATATTTATTTGACTTTTTCTTCTTGCTAATTATGCTGTAAGATTAGGTGATAAATTTCTAGGGGAAAAGAAAAAGACGTTGTACTGCCAAGAGCAGCACTTACAGCTAATAATTTTGAAAATTACAGACATCAGTAAATGGATTAACTTTGCTCAGCTTTTAATTACAAACACCAGTAGCTAAAATACCTATATGCTTTTTTAAATAGCTTTCTCTTTCCCTGCCCCACCTTCTTTTCCTCTCTCACTTTTCATGTAACCTTAGCAGAAATGCAGAGGCACAACTAAGGTTTGAGGAAAAACCACAGCCATCCACACTTCTGATTATGGTTAAATAAATGCAGAACATTTGAAAAATCCTCCCTAAACTCACAGTGATCCAATCTAACAGTTACCTGATTTACACTTCTCAGTCATAGATAAATAATTCCTTAAACAAGGTGTATTAATTTAGCAAACCAATCTCTGTTATTTCAGGGTATATGTTTTTATAATGATGAGTTCCCTTTAAAGAAAATAGACCTTTTAGAAAAGGTCTTTTAAAACGAAATTTGTGAAACAATTCTTGTTTCAATCAATGTTTGACTAAAACTTTGACAAAGCAAAAAAAAAAATCTAACATCTTACAATTATGATTTGTTTTGACATTCAGTGAAACCTTGCTTCTTTTTCATGCAACACCAGGGAAAAAACCCAGTCAACTGCAAGTGGAGTATATTTCAGTGAAAATAATCTACTTTATACTTTCATATAGCATTCTAGTTTCTTTTTCCACTAAAGGATTCAAACTGAAAAAAAACCCCTGCTCTCCTATCATAAAGTACAGATAAATATTATTGCTACCCAAAAACATGCCGCAGTCTAAAAGAATATTGCACCAGGGTAACAAATGTAAAATACGGCCACATTGTCTTCAAACGTAGCCTGCAATTATAGCACGTTAACATTCTGTATTATTCTCTAGAATAAACACCTGTACAATTGGAACTTTTACTCACTCTTTAAAACAGCAGAGATCCAAACAAGGCTTGTAAGCAAGAGGATGAGGTAGGATCTCCCCCTTTAATTTGCCATTTCTGCAGAGGGAGATTTTTAAATAAGAAGTTACTTTGTTCTTTCTTCCCCCAGTCACCCCTAGCTGCCAGCAGGTCTGCCAAATTGCCAAGCATCCTGCCACAAGTCCAACTAACAGCATCTGAGCATAACACTCCCACCAGGCTGAATACAAAACAATTGAATTAAAACATGTCACAACTCTTTACTGCATTCTAATATGTCTTAACTCCTGGCTGTGGGTATAGATATTTAATTGTGGGAATTTTCAAGACATGAGTTATTTAAAAAACACTTTAGAACACAAAGTAAACCACAAAAACAAGCTATGCAAAGAATTTTGCGTGAAGGCAGCAAAGCTGTGGATGTCCCATTCCTGGCAGTGTCCAAGGCCAGGTTAGATGGGGCCCTGAGCAACCTAGTCTAGTGTAGGACACAGCAGGAGAGTTGGACTGAGATGGTCTTTAATGCCCCTTCCAACCCAAACCATTCTATGATTTCTATGATAGCTAGCACCTTTCCCTACCCAAATCACCATTTCTGATTCAGATTTTTTTTTGCTTCTTTCTTCAGTTAAAGAACTGTCAATATTCTATATCTGTTGCTTCACAATAATAATAAACCTTTAGCAAATATATGAAAAGGTAAGTTATAGCAGACTGTGTATTCGAACAATCTAATTTTTCCTATCTATGTATCTTTCTTAAGTAAGTGACCGGCTGTTGGTAATCATTCAGTTTCCATCTGAAAACAGCTGTGGAGTTTGGCTCTTAAAATTTAATTCAGTCCATGCAACTCAGTGGAATGCTACTGGTCTCTACAAATAACACCACTGACAGATTAATCAGAATTATATCAATGGCAGATTAATCAACACTATCCCACACATTTTAGCACCTTACCATTTTTAAGAGCCAAAATGAAAGCAACTTTTCAAATTGTTCAGATGGAAACCGGAAGGAATCACCTATGTCCGCTGTAAAGTGAGTGCTGCGTTACCTGGAGCCGCAGCAGCCCTACCACCGAGCATTGCTTCTGCCTGAATGCCGACGCTCATTCAGTCACGGGTTGTTAAAAGGCAGCAACCTCGACTTCCGAACATCTGCGAGGCTCTTTTCACCCCCCAGAATACTGTAAACATCAGGGCGGTCTTTAGGAGACACTCGTGGAAGTGAAATCACACAGCTTTCCCGCTGCCTCCTAAAGCTGGGATACCTGTGCAGTTTAAGCTGCCTCAGACTCCGAGCAATCCATAGGGCACACCGAGCTCAGGACGAATAGACAGCTCCTGTTTACCTTCTCGGCGATGCTGTACAGGACCTCATCCATCTTCATGCACGTGGGGTCCCAGTCGTGCCCGAAGCGGATGACGACGACCCGGTCCTCCTCCGACAGGATGGCCTGGTCCACCTGCCACCCATTGTGCAAGTGCGGTAGCATGTACGACATCCTGGCGGCCGGCCGGCGAGCCTGCGGGACGACAGGGATGATGGCCCTGGAGCTGACAGCCCGCCCTGCCTGCCTTCCCCAGGCCCTCCCGGGGCGCAGGCGGTCACCGAGCGCCGGCACCGGGGCCCCCCCGGTTCGCCCACCCCGCCACAGCCCGCGCCCAGCGCACCCCGCGGGCGTCCTTCCCTCAGAGACACGGAGCGGCGGCGGCGCGGCACGGGCGGGAACCGGAAGGGCGGGCACGGGGACGGGCGCGCTTCCGGCGCGGCGCGGGGCGGGACAGCCGCGATTCCCGACGGGAGGAGGCACCGCCAGGGACGGAGGCGTCCCTGCTCGCAGGTGGGGTGTGGAGCATTGCCGCGGGGATCGGCGGTGCCGGCTAGCGTGGGGAGGATGGAACAGAGGTGGTCGGAGCCCAGATCCCCGACTCTCTGCTGCTGAGCACTCTGATGTTAGCACATTATCCGTGCCTCCGTGGGAATTTGGTCAAGGAGATATGCTCAGAGAAGCTGTGGATGCCCCATACCTGGAAGAGTTCAGGGGCAGGTTGGAAGGGGCTCTGCGCCTGCTCTAGCGAAAGGTTTCCCTGCCCATGGCCGAGGGGCTGGGTCTAGATGATCTTTAAGGTCCCTTCCAGCCCAACCATTCTGCGATTCTGTGCTATTGCATCTCCTGGCTGTGGAAGGTTGTAAGTGTACACTTACAGTGTAAGAATACACTGTGAAGTGTATTCGCCCACAGCAATGACAATTTTCATGCCCCGGCACCAGCCACCCCCCGGAGCCGCCACTGCGGGACTGGCACTGGGGTTCCATGAGCTCTGCCAGTGCCACTGCGGGAGCACTCTGGGCAAGCGCTCCAGTGGAAGTGGTCAGCAGCGAAACCAGCACATTCCAGCACTGGGTTCCGTTGGCACATGCCATCCCAGACCAATCTGTTTCCTTAATTCCACAGTAGACACCCTTTTAAAAGGTTAGCTTGCGGCAGGCAGGGAGAAAAGCATCGTTTCCACCATAAAAATCCCAGACAAGCTGCAGCTTGGGCCGTGGGGAACAATGTGAATTTGTGGCAAATAGCTTTGCCCCGTAATTGCTTTATGGCCTTTTTGGGACATCCGGCGGCGGGAGAAGGACAGGGACAGGGAGAGGAGAGGCAGCCCGGTGTGACTGCGGACAAGAGCAGAGGCAGCCGGGGCGGTGATTCCCGAGCCGCAGCTTCCCTGGAAGCCGCCAGCCCCGGAGCCGATCGTGCCCGGGCAGGGTTAAACGAGCGGGGCTGGGCAGGAACAGGAGCCCGGCCCCGAGAAGGAGCCGTGAGCTCCCGGTTCTTCCAGCTGCCGCGGGATCGAGCTGGGAAAGGCACGGCGTCAGAAAGAAACCAGCCTTGGTTAGTGCTTTGGTCGTTGTTCAGGCAACTGGTCTTCTTCTTTAGAGCTCTAAAGTTAGTAGGAGGAATTGATCCTGGATAACGCAGGCTGTTAACTTTAATTGAAAACTCAGCTAGGAAAAATTACGTAGGTTTATTTTGCTGTGATTTGGTTAAGTCCAAGATGATACAGCAGTGCCAGCCGACAAATCTGCGAGTAAGATCCACAGGTGAAATAAGGCCAGCTTCAATTAGCACTGAAGTTATTCCTTCTTATTTACTCCATTGTCTCAATCTAAGTCATATTTTCAAAGTTTTCTCTGCAATGCCAGGATCAGAACCTAGTACATTTACCTTGCATCAATGATTTACACATGATTATGACTGTTAACCTACATGGAAGCATATATTATGTAAACACTAATAGAGAAGCAACAACTTTAAAAAAAAAAAGGTTTTTTTTTAAAAAGGAGCTTAGTGATACTACAGATGATACCAGTCCAAAGCCACAATTGTCATATCCTTGACAGGTGTTACATTTAGCACACTGGACAAGACGTCTGATAACTGAATAATTATGTTCAGGAGCAGAGCATTTCGTCTGTTGAAACTGATTCCCTCGATGTCTTGGCAGTCAAATTTGGCTTACAAATTTATTCATCCGGTTATTGCTTCTCACGGACATCGCTGTCACACAAGTCTGATTTGCAAACAAAGGTACAGGACACATGCACATAGTGCTGGAAGACGAGCAATAACTGCTGGGACCAAGGTTGGTATCTGGAGAGCCCCCTTCGTTCTGTGAGCTTCCTTTAAGTGTTTTTGGTTTCCTGTTGTCAGTGTGATGTTTTAAGGTTGTACCTGGGACGAGCAGAACACCAGTTGTTGGACCAGCGCTGTAGGCGATGCATGGGTCACATGTGCATCAAACACGGCTGGAAGGGTGGTGGGCTCAGCATGCCCACACTCATGGAAAGATCCATCAACATGCCACAAGCATGTTTCTAGTGCACTAGCTGATTTGTTCGTAGCTAGAGGCTTCCTCATGGGTCACCTTTCTGCTTGTGAAGTGTCAGAAGTGCTTTCAAAGTGAAAGCAAGTCTGGCTCTACCTATCTATGGTGTGTTGTAATGGGGTAGGAGGTGGTGAGGAAAACAAATGGAGTGATACAATGATGCCTTACTGTCATCTGCCAAGCACTTGATCATGTCTGGTGCCCAGTTTTCCTTGTTAGCAGCATAAGGTTTAGCTGCCGTCCAGGATTAGCGGATTCTGATTGTTAATGAAGTTGGACAACTCCATCACAATATGACATCAACTCCTCTTTTATTCTATGCATCATTCATTCTGGAACACAAATCTAGTTCATCCTAGTAATGTTGTGCGATATTCTTAAGAAATGCAGACTACACCTGGGGAAATTTGCACGCTTTTGACAACCACATGGGGTTGACAACTTCAGCTGGCAAAAAGAAAATATGAGATGTATATAAAAAACATTATCTTCCTTTGCAATTTGGTTGCACTGTTCATCTCATTGCTTTGTTTGCTGCTGTTGTGAGCCAGATAGTATAATCAGAGACATTGTGGTGAACTGCAGACCTGTCCTAGCATGGAGGCCTTTTCAAGCCCATGTACAGCAGCAGACTGAAACTGAGGCAGAAATGCACATCAAGGCCAGGAGAAGCCAGCAGTACTGGTGCTGAGACTGTAACCACAGACATGGTTGGGATAAGTCTGAGTTTGTTCAGGACCAGGGTAAATACGGTTGACAAAAACTTCCAGTCTGCATTGACGCCTTTTTGTCACAGGTTTGAGTTCTGATCACTCACAGAAGGCTTTTGTGAGAGGAGTGAAGCAGCAGGACACAGCTGGCCAGCACTGTGTGCCCGGAATATATCAGCATACTGCTGTGGAAAAATTGGTCTGATTCAGGTAGCACAACATCAGGTTTCCTGGATGCAAGTCTAGGACATAGAATGTGATGGAGACCAAAAGTCAGTGGAGCACAGCAAAAGGAGCTGTAGGAAACAGAGACAGCTGTAGAGACAGCTCTTGTTAAGATATGCAGGAAATCTTCAATTACCATTTTTGCCAATAGGAACTTTAATTAGGTGTTTGATTGCTTATGGAGCCCCTATCTTATTGCAGAGTGCATTTGCAGGAGTGTTGTAGAGAGGACTGGACTCAAAACTCTCAGGGCAGAGGAAAGTTGTAACATGAAGGACTGTGTTATCAGTGGTATCACCTCTAGTGCTCTTCCTCACTGGTTCAGCATATAGGCATGGGTATGCTATATTTTGCATGAGGTAGGTTCAGGTACAGATCTGAATGTTTAAAACACTGAAGGCAAGCAGTCTAATAGCTATCCAAGGGTGGCCCTTCATCGAGCAAATTTGTTAGACCTAAGCCATCCCTGACAGATTGTTTGTCAGGTCATCTGGGCCTCAGTGCCACCCTACATTGCCTGTGGCTTCACCAACGGTAACCAACAGGCAAAAAACTTTGAATCAATTTCTAATAAATTTCTAGCAGTCTCTGTTTCATAGCACTGTTCATTGAAAGGCATTGGTGAGTAAGCTACCAGAAAAATTACTAGTTTTGTATTAAATCAGTATTGATTCAGGACTAAAATGAAACTCTGAGAAGAACAACTTGTAGGACTGGATTTGGATGTGAGAATGTGGCTATTCCTTGGTGTTATAGTCTAAATCATCACGTGGTAAAAGTACTTGGAAGTTGTCTGACATACCACACTACTACCAAGTGACCGTGGATTAAAAGCACTATTGAATTCCATCAGCTTCCTGATCTACACATGTGAACTTAAATGATAACTATTAAGGAATCATTGCTCCTTTCAGGGTGTTCTCCTAAACAAAGTAGCATTTCTTCTATTCCCCTGTTGCAGGTCATGGCAGAAGGAGAGTTGCCGGCTGTTTTGATCCTGGATATAGGAGGAACTCACGGCGTGCTAGAAGACCTTGCAGCACTTTTGAAGAAACACTTTCACCTTATCACCATGAAGGAATTTCTTGGAAACAAAGAAGAAATGAGCAAAAAAATCCAATCTGTTTTTGTGTTTGAGTGCAGGCCAACTATTGATCGTGAGCTTCTAAAAAGCCTGCCTAATTTAAAGGTAATTGGAAACTCTGGGGTTGGAGTGGATCACTTAGACTTGAAAATGATCTCGAGCTTTGGTGTAAAAGTCACCAACACCCCGCACGCCGTGGCAGACCCAACAGCAGACATAGGAATGGCCTTGATGCTGGCCTCTGCCAGAAGACTAGTGGAAGGTAATGCATTAAATTTTCTTGGTCCTTGCTACCTCTTTGGTATACTTCACTATTGCTGTGAGAGAGATGATGTTTCTGAATCAATATTTGGGATGCTTTTACGGAGAAAATTTTTCAGAGGCCTTAACTTTCAGAGGCATTTACTTCTCCTATGTTTCATTTCTTTTTAGGGCAACAGTGGCAAGAGTAAGGCCTTTGTCTAAATTATGCACTTGAAAGTCTGGCTTGTGAAGAATTATGCACTTAATTCTTCTCTGGCTGAGTGGGTTGTTTATAGCTGTGAAAACTGAATACAGAGTGCGTCCAAACGGAATGTCACCACTTTCCATCTCCCCTCGAAAGAAGAATTAGGAGCTACAGGAAGTTACAAAGCGTTAGTGGCCACATCTCCAACTCCAGAGCAGTAATTAATATAAATTCTCCTTTTTTCTGCCTCTGTGATGGGTTTGTCTAAACCACTGGGTTGTATTTCCTGAAGAACATCTGCATTATTTTTGAAATAGATGATAAACCTCTTGACAAAGCTGTTATGAGTTCTACCACTAGCATTAGTTTGTGTCCCTAAAAGCAGGTTCTTTCCCCACTTCCTTGCTATGAAATGCCTTTCTGGGGGAGAAAGGTGTCAGTAGAGACTTTCAAAAGAAGTCGCCTCTGTCTTCATGGAATCATGGCCTTTCTGTCACTGCTGCTCCACCCCTGAGCATGAAATACCATCTTTTACCCCATGATATTTTCTGACTATTGAATCTTTTTGAACCTCAAGTTCTTTGTATAAAAGCTCACAGAGATCCTTGGCTGAGCTGGAATTTGAAGCCTTCACCCCTGCTCAAGCAGTGAGGCTGCCTTTGGGTTGTGATCCAGGAGAGATATGGATAAAAAAAAAAGTGAAGTCAGTGCTAGCAAGGTAGTTTCAAAGAAGCTACTTTTGAACTTCAAGAAAACACACCATCTGTGGAAGAGTTAATTCCCCAAGGAGTCATTCCTACCAGCACAGTACCCAGCCAGGATCCCACTGTGTTACTGGCTTCAGGCCTGGGTGCAGGAATTGGCACCATCCAGGCCCTTAAATAAACTGGTCAGAATCAACAAAGGTGTTTTGTAAAGGGTGCTCCAGAACCCCACTGCTGTGATGGTGATAAACCTTTTCCTTCTTCCAGGCCTGTGTTTATGGCTGATTTGTACCCATTCAACATGTATTTACATGCAGGCTGCCAGATTGCAATATCTCCAGACACAAAGCACTTTGCTGTTGACTGGCTGGGAGTGGAAGTAACTGGAGCCACACTTGGCATCATTGGGATGGGCAGCATTGGATACAAAGTGGCTCAGAGAGCCAGAGCCTTCAACATGAGGATCCTGTACCATAACAGAAACCGGAGGTAAAGACATCTGGTTTCTGCATTTAATTGTCCAGGGGGCAGTGATGGAAGCCACAACTCTTCTCTGTCCCCAGCCTTCCTATGCACTTGTGGCAGTTCTAAGCAGTGTGACAAGCACCATTGTGCCACCACTTCCTCACTTTGGCTCACTCCTGCTCCCCTCAGGAAGCAGTTCCCCCTGCCCTGGTTAGCCACTACCAGTTTGAAACAAGGGCTGTGTAAACATTTGGGAGGTGTTGTCCAAGCACACCAGGTCTTGTGCCCTTGTGGTGTCCCCTGTCCTGTCAGACTCTGCTTCAGGCTTCTGGCAGCATCTCCCAGCCAGTCTCCTCAGCCTAGACAGATCACGCATCACATTGGCACCAATGATGAAGATCTTAATTTCTCAAGGATTTGTAGTTCCCTTTTTTCACACTTCATTTCTTTTCAACCACAAGTCCTAACTGGCATGTCAGGCAAGGAAAGGCTCCACAGGAATTGGCATAGACATAGGAGAGAAGACTGGGGTCTGACTGTATCCCCAGCCTGTGTGCTTTGCTTTCACACATACATCACTCTTCCAGTGTCCCACCACTCCTGTAGCCTCTTGCTCCCTCTAGCCCACATCCTTTCTTGTATCCATTGCACCATCTGTGCCTATCAATTACTTATACTTTATCAAACCTTTATCAAGGTTGGTATCAAACCTCTCAGTTTCTGTGCTTTCTGGAACTCTCCTAGGGCTGATTGATTGTTAAACTCAGTAAAAAGTAGTTGTGTCAATTTGGGGATGTGTACATTTTTTCTTCAGACGAAAGGAGGAGGAAGAGGCTGTTGGTGCCCACTACTGTGCAAAGATGAAAGACTTGCTGCAGCAATCTGACTTTGTTATGTTGGTTGTGAACCTGACTCCTGAGACTCACAAACTGATTGGGAAAAAGGAGCTGGGGCTGATGAAACCCACAGCTACTCTTATAAACATCAGCCGAGGTAGGTGAATCTGAAATGACTGTTTGTGGCTCCACACTTAAGGTTGTGTTTTGTCTGATTGCGTTGACATTCCCCTCTCCAGCCTCAGTCTGTGATATCCCTCCATTGTTTGAGTCATGAAGTAGCTGGCAGTCTACAAATGGGTGACTTATGTGGATCATATGCTATGTCTTCAAAGGCCCTATGGAAATTAGGGATGCTCAGCAGATGGTTGGTTCTCTTTATAGCCTTATTCTAGAGATAGTGGATTTTAGTAGAAATAACTGAAAGATTTATCATCAGCGAGGGGGAACGGTGTACAAGGCAAAACATTAACATTTGGAACAGCAGTGTAGAAAGGAAGCCTCACATGGGATGACAGATCTGTTGGCACTGAGTAAGTATATGAGATTATAATTTCAGTAAACAAAGAGATAAAAGAGTGGAAAGTCTGCAGAGATTAAATGATTTGTCTATAGTAATACAGGAAGTATCAAAATGAGGACTGAAACTGGTCTCGTCTCAGGAAAAACCTTATGCAGTGGACCATAATCATCCTATAATTAAAGATTAATAAATAAAATCTTTGGTTTGTTTGGTTAATGATTATTAAAAAGGCATTCTATTTTCTAACAAGATGAAGAGCCTCTAGTTTTTCTCACTTCATCCTGGAGACCTTCTCCTCCCCCTCATGGGTAAAAATGTGTGCATTAACTCATCAGGATATCAAGATTTCATTTCAATGCAGGTGCAGTTATTGATCAAGATGCATTGGTAGAAGCTCTCCAGAATAAGGTTATTAGGGCTGCAGCTCTGGACGTGACATACCCTGAGCCTCTGCCAAGGTAAAGAAGCTTGTTTCCCTTTCTGTTAATCTGAAATGTTTTAAACTGTGTTCAAAGTGTGCTCATAATTTTCATCTCCACAGGGAGACTCATTGTGTAAGGGCAAAACCTTAGCCTGTCTTGCACAATCATAAATAAACAACAAGTTATTCCCCTTTCCCACCTCTGTTGTTTCTTTGCCAGCCTGACTCATGGGCCAGGCAATGAGCAAGATGGATGGAGAGGAAGAAAAAATGTGTAAGCAAGTGTCCCACGGCTTTGTGCTCATTCTGTGCTTTGTTCTGAACGTGCCATTGCTGTTTCCTGAGGTTCAGTTCTTCACAACTAGCATGGGATAGCAGCAGAGTAAGTTCCCTGTGTAATACATTCTGTTATTTCTGTTTCTTCCAGAGATCATCCTTTATTAAACCTGAATAACGTCATCATTACCCCACACATTGGAACTGCAACAGTCCAAGCCCTCCGTATGATGGCAGAAGAAGCAATAGCAAATATACTGGCTGTTCTCAATGACCAACCCATTCCAAGTGAAGTGTTTCCCAAATGAGTGCCAGATGATGCCACTAAATCTCCTGTGTATGGGAAGGCACTATTTCTTACCACTTTTAAGATGAAAAAAAAAAGCACAACCTGTTCCTGCACTGCTCCTCATGATGCTGCAGAATTGTCAGACTTGATCTGCTCTGTTGCTTACAATTCCAAAAAATAAAGTGAAGCTAATAAAAGAGATTTGTTTGAAGATTTCAGCTGAGCAGTAATGCATTTTGATATCTTCAGTCTATTTCAGTGAATACCAATGTTCTGTTCCCAGTTCTTGTTGCTACATGATGATAAGTACACCCGACACTCTCAAATCTATTGAAGATGAATGAGCATTGATTCCCTGCAGAAATTTGGCTGTAAACACTTTTCAGCCAATATTCCAATACTCTATTTTTATATGAAAACACTGAAGAAATGTTCTTTAAAGTAATCATATGCCTAAGGTTTTCTAATTTAAGGAGAGCCCTGTTTCATCTGCATGTTAAAGCAAAGCTAATTGTTGAAAAAGTGTCTTTATTTTTCATGAGGGCATCCTTTGAAAACGAGAGCAAATTCCAAGAGATTTAGTTCCTCCATGCAGACAAAAATTATGCTTTTATCTTGACTGGCCATGAAAGAAAGGTAGAATTACCATTAAAATCACATGGGTGAGGGCATAACCTAAAGCAAAACTAGTGATCGGTCCTGACTTGCAGCTCAGGGCCAAGCTTTTTCTTACATTCTCTCTTCTGTTGGCCATCAACAAATTCAGAAAATTGAATAGAGTGGTTGTCGCCTCCATAAAGTCAGGAAGACTTGCAACATTATCAGGCTCCCTGAAGGGATGGCAAAATGCAGTTCTAGCACAGGAAGTGTAGACAGGCCAGGAGTTAGACATTCTGTTGGAAATAGTGAAATTATACTAACAAAGCAACAGAATTGCTACAGGATTGCTATTCCAAGATCTTTGGCCCTTGAACACTCTCCCCAGAGCTCTTCCCAAAACTGCTATAGAAAATTAGAGGTAGCTATAAATGGTCTGTCCAAAAAAACCCAAATAGCTGTCAATTTACATACCCTCTAGGGACCAAAGCCAGACGGTCAGGGATTTTGGAAAAAACCCAAACCAAACAATGTAGAGTCCTTCTTGGAAAACACTTGCCTAAGCATATATTATTTTATTATTTTGGTAATTTGCGATAGGCTCAGGAAAAGGCTCTGCAGTCACTGGGGTCTCTTCAGGACAGATGGCCACAAAAATCTCTGCAACGAAGCATTTAAAAATTAACCTGGTAACTCAAAGTTCATGATGAAGCTGTTCAATTTATTTTCATGATGTAGATTTGGTTCAACATTTTTCTAAACTACTTAGACAAGGTACTCTGTGATTTCAAGATAGCAAATGAGATTTATTGCACTATTTACTGCAGACCACTGATGATCTGAAACTAAGTAATTAAGGAGAAGTGTTGTGTTTTGAGCATGGTAGCAGTAATGTGAAATCTTAGATCATGAGGACAGAACTTGTTCAGCCTGATTATGTGAATACCTCGGGGCGGGTACCTGTGTGTATAATAGGTAGCTTATTTTAAAAAGCTGCTTGCTTGTCTTGTTTTCTTATTGTCCTGTGTGGTTTATAGAATCTCTTGACATAAATGTCTTGAAACAGGACACGGCAGTGATTATTCTTTAAAATGTCTGGAAATGTCTTTTCTCTGACACTTTGGGTCTTTCTTCTTTGTGCAGATCATGGAAGGAGGAGAGCTACCTTGGCTTTTGGTAAATGAAATTGGTGGCATACGTGGGATACTGCATAGCCATGTGCCATTCCTGAAAAAACATTTCCACCTCATCACCATGAAGGAATTTCTTGAAAACAGAAAGGATGTTGGTAAAAAGGTCCAAGCAATCTATTTGTGGTGGCACAAACCAGTCATCGACAAAGAGCTCCTCCAAAGCCTGCCAAACTTGAAAGTGATTGCGAATTCTGGAGTGGGGATGGATCACCTGGATCTGAATCTTGTAGCTAGTTTTGGTGTGAAGATGGCTAATGCTCCACGTGCTGTTTCCAGTGCCACAGCAGATACTGGGATGGCTTTGCTGCTAGCATCTGCTAGAAGATTAGTGGAAGGTAACATCTCAATTCTTTGTGGCTTCTAAAAATCATACAAGATTTACCTGCCATTAATTTGATTTTTCTTAGAGTTACCTGTGGTGCACACGGTTTTGCAATAAAAAAGTGAAAATGTAAGTATGTTGGCTTGGCAAACAGAATAATAGGTATTTTAATACATTTTATGTATTATAGGTAAACTTAAATTATTACATTATACACAGACATACATAGCATATATTTCAACAAGGTAAAATGTGATGGCATTACAGTGCTATGACCAGAAGTGGTGGATGTCAAAGATCAGATGACTACTGAAGTGACAGGCTGGTAGAAGAAATTCGTGTGGGAGGCAACAATGGAGCAGAACAAGGTTATATAGAATCATGGAAGATCCTGAGTTGGAAGGGACCCACAAGGCTGATAGAGGCATGGGTGTATTCTTGGAGACTGAAACGGGTTGATGCAGAATTGGGGCATTTAAGGGACATTAGAGAGTAATAAAGCAGCCTACTCCTGTTTTTGTTAATAGCATCCTTTCTATCAACAATTTTTTCTTGCTATTTTGCGAAATAGACCTAACTTTCGCTTGGTTAGAATGCCTCCTTCTTCAGGGAAAAATCCTTCAGATTTATCCTTTTATATCCACCTGACTTTGACTTGCCCTCTATACCACAGGATTCATAGAAACTCAAAGGGGGTTTGTGTTCCTCTAAGTCTGTTTCTACTTCATAAAAGGGAGACAGATTAAAAGGAAGATTAATTTCTTGTTCCCATCCACTTAAACTATCCCTGGTGGCATTTCAGATAGCTCTGTCCTGACATGACTGAGTTTTTCCTGAGTAATTTTTGCATCCTTCCACAATATTCTGCTTGTGTTTTAGAAAAGTTGGCAATACCAGAAGACTGAAATATCAAAACACTGTCGCCTTATTAGCCGCCCTGACACTGTGTATATAACTGTATTTTATGTGTTGTAGAGCTTAGAGCTATCCAGAATTGTGCAGGTTTAACAAAAGGTAATTACAGAAACTACCAAGCTGTGATTTTAAAGAAGTCACACTTTTCTTTCCAAGGAGAGTGGCAGATGTGAAGAGGAAACCCAATATCTAGTGTTGTTCTCCACGTGGCATCTTCAAACTCTGCATTGTTATTGGCAATAATTATTTTGATTGTTGATGAGGAACAGGGCAACATTTTCATGAGTAAAATTTTTTTTGGAGAGATTATATCAAAGGGCTTTTTATAGTATGGTGAAAAGAAATTGGAATATCATATATACATGCAACAGGGAAAGATGATACATTAGGGAGTTACCTAGGACATTACAAAATCCTATGTTTGTAACCATTAGAAATGTGCTATAGTAGCACAACAAGTCCAGACTCTTTTACCTTATTCCTCCATGTTGGACCCCATTGATTTCTCATATTAATGTGTTTTTCTTGCAGTCCATAACATTTCAATTTCCCCAAGTATGGAGTACTGTGAAGCTGATACTCTGGGAGTTAAAGTTGCTGGAGCTACTCTGGGGATCATTGGCATGGGCAGCATTGGGTATAAGATTGCTCTGAGAGCGAAAGCATTTGAAATGAACATTTTGTACCACAACAGGACACGGAGGTAAAGATATGTCTTGACCCTAATTGCAGCAGAAACTCTTCCAGACAGTCAGTATTTTCTTTTCAAGGAATTGTGTCAGAAATATAGCAAGAAATGAGGGAATGTGGCCAAGGTTAAAACAAAAGGAAAAAAAAAAGAATGGTTGCCTGAAATCAGTCCTGTAAAGAGTTACTCAGTGATTAAACACTTGGAAACTTAATTTAGGTTTTATATTAGAAATGTCAAGGTTTCCTGCAGAAAAACGGAAATCAAGCTTATATTTTTTATTCTTATCACATTGTACTATAGTGACAACATAACTCTATTTGTTGTTCATTTTTTCCCCATATTTTGAAGGTCAGGAGGGATATTTTTGAAACAGTGGCTGGAAACTAGGAAGCATATACATGGCACAATATGATTGAAAGCTGTTCTTAAGAAAATCTTGTTTCTTCTGAAGCCAGTAGGAATTTTAGCAAGTATTTAACAGGATTTCACCCTCTATTTCTCATCCCTCCTAGCCTGTGTATCTGGGAATCTGAACCTCGTTAGACATTCAGCACAGGGACTCTTCAGTTTAAAGTGAGCAAGACCCCCGCGAACAACTCGAGGCCTTTGCAATCAGGCAAGGTGCAGATAATGAGCAGAACAAATACTTACTGCTATAATCTATGACCTACCCTGGGAGAACTTTATTCCTCTGTTACTGAAGGGAGAAGCTGCAGTGCTAGGTTGTGGCATTCAGGACTTCTGGGGATTTTCCCCTTGAGCAGACTGCAGGAGGAGAGTCACTGCTTTAGCTAGTCCTAGGCAAATCACAAGGGTGAACGAGGCCAGGAATTTTTAGCCATGCTTGGCATTCCTGTTTCCTCAGAAAAACAGCTAAGCAAACTCACATTTTAAAAAATCCTTAAGATCTTTCAGAATTTCTTCAGAAACCACAAAAAAATATTTAAAAGGCACTAATCCCTTTTTTCTTTTTTCCCTATGTGTATCATCCTTAACTCCCTCTGTTTAATATTTCTCAGTCTTTAAAGTAATATTTATGTAAGAGTGCTGTGATGAATGATCAATGCACAGTGCAACAGAAATTAAAAGCCTAAAGTACATTTAAAGTACATTTACACTTCCAGCTTGTGTGATGAATCAAGATGCACTCTGCATCTGCTTTGATACTGCAAAACTGGCTGCAGTTCCAGTTTGTTTTTTTCCCCTCTTACTCTCTGGTCGTTGATCTGGAAAGAAAAACAAAAACAGTGAAGTGCATTTGTTAGAAGAGACATGGGTTAAAGTTACATTGAAGTTATTTTCTTAGCGTGACCTCTTTATTTCTAGATTAGAGAGGAGATAACTTAAAGCCCTTCTCTTGCAACCAGAAGATTGTACCCATGATCACCTATCATTGCTTCTTTATTTCCCAGAGTTCAGACAGCTAAATTTACAAAGAACATGAGAAATGGCAAGTATTCTTCTGCACTGTGAAAAGTTAAAACTGAAAATCTCTCTACTCTGGTAACACTTTTTGCTGAACGCTTTATTCTGTGGAAGTCCTGGAGCAGGCAGGAGCTTGGCAAAGAGCTGCCTTGCTGATTTCAGTCATAAAAAAATAGCAGGCTTACTGGGAGTGTCAACAGGATGAGGACCACTGCCATGCCCAGAGCTTGCATGGGTGAGTTCTGGTGAATACCAGTCCTCTGGTTTGAGCAGTGACTGCATCCTCTGAGGTGCACAGGGCATCCTGGAGAAGGGACTGTGTGCTGCCATCTGCTTCAGTGCTCAGCCCTAGTTCATTTGCAGACTTCATAAGAAGCCCTTGGGACCCTGCACTGGAGTGGCTGAGGGACACACATGCAATCTATCCTGTGCTGTAGGGCTTGAAGCTTTCCAGAAGGATCTAAACACCGAGCTGAGAATAAAATTACTTTTGTTTGCCACCTGTTTGCTATATGGATGTGATAATCAGATCCTTTGGTTTGTATACTGGTGATATCGTTGAAAAAAATGTTTCTATGACTGAAATGCTTTTTTCCCCACTAGGAAAGTGCAAGAGGAGCAAGCTGTTGGTGCCATTTACTGCAAACAGATGGACAGCTTGCTCCAGCAGGCAGATTTTGTGATGCTGGTGGTGAGCCTGACACCTCAGACACACAAACTGATCGGGAAAAGAGAACTGGAGCTGATGAAACCCACAGCTACCCTCATTAACATCAGCCGAGGTACCACCCAGATCCATTGGCCGGTCTCACAGTGTGGTCCAGCTCCTGCTGTGCTCCACACAGCACCGTGCTGCATCCAGCACAGCTGGGGAACATGCTCAGGCATGGCAGAAATTCCTCCCTCTCCCTCTCCCCTTCCCTTCTCTCTTCACTCTTTGCCTGCAAGGTGCACTCAGAGACACTCTTGTTCCACACCAGGTGCAGTAATTGACCAAGAGGCGCTGGTGGCAGCACTGCAGACTGGTGTTATCGGGGCCGCAGCTTTGGATGTCACCTCCCCAGAGCCGCTGCCCAGGTTGCCTTCTCTGCTTGTTTCTCGGGAAGGATGGGTGAGCCCTGCTGGGGCCAGAGGCATCCCTGCAGCAGGCAGGAAGCTGGCCCCCCCTGCCCCTGGCATGAGTTTGGATAAAAGTGCTATGAATATGAATGGGATGCAGCCCAGATGTTGGGGCTGATAACAGACCAAAGGGAAGCCTGGGAGACAGGAAACAGCAGGAGGGAGGGAAAGCATTAAGCCCAGTCCTTAGAATCGCCCTGTGAAGCTGCAGCAGTGCTTCACTTGCAAATTGCCTTATTAGAAAGTGCAGCTTGCCGGTTTTAATGGGTGGAAGCTGTTTGAGGCCAAAGACCTGCATAGCCCGGAGGTATCCTTCCCCACAGGCTTCTTTCCACAATACAAGGCTGAAGTACTGCAAACCTCTTGGGCCCAGAGACTACTTAGCTTCTCTAAAAAGACCACTCTACCAGGAGGATGGTGCCTTTTGGAGTTAACTGTGCTGGGCATTTTGGATTGTGGGGAGTTTGGTCTTGTGCCTGTGTGCAAATACCTACAGCTCAGACTATTGTGTAGGATGAATGTGTCCGGAGGGCTTAATCCTCTCTTGTGACATAGTTCAAATTGCTGCCTCATGGCAGAAGTGTGTTTCTGGAGAAAAGAGCTGCTCTGAAGTTTTTGCATGTCCTGTTACAGTCCAAAATTACTTCAATATAGGAGGTCAGGTTCTCTGGGACTTGTAAGGTTGCATCAAATTAACTTTAAATACAGTGCTAAAATAAGCACTTATTTTATAAGCACTTTATTTTAGCTAAAAGCTAAAATAAGACTCCTCTTTATTTAGATGAACAACAATCGTTAACTCTTTTTTCTTTTCTTCCAGAGATCATCCATTGTTAAAATTAAAGAACATCATTATAACACCTCACCTTGGCATTAAAACAGACAAGGCCACCTACATGATAACAGAGGAAGCAGTTGAAAACATACTAGCAGCCCTGAATGGTCTCCCCCTACCCAGTGAAGTGCTGCCTAGCTGATGTGTGAAAGGACATCACATCTCTTTTTATTCTTCTCTTTCTCTTTTTTTTCTTATCTTTCCCTTCAGCTCTGAAGATCTTCTTAAATACAAGAATGTCCATACACCTCACTAAAGCTTGCAAGGGAACAGTTTGTCATCCTCTCAGTTGTGTTTATATCCTTTCTGTTGTCTAATGCAACTCCAAAAGACAAATAAACCAACACACAAAGTGGCTGTGCTATGTCTTTTGTTATGTAGCGTGACTTTACAGAATAGTATGATTATTTATCAGTAGCCTTTCTTTAAATGGCTACTTTGCTATAATTTACAGCAAAGTATCCATTAAGTGCAGCCAGGATTTTGCCTGGAGCCTTATGCATCTTCACAGTGCCTTTGTCTTGCAGGTGTTACCTCACTAGTGCTTGTCAAAATACACTTACTCCCATCACTTTTATGTATGATGATGTTACCAACTCTTGCAGTTCCAGGAAACAAGACATTGCAGCTTTTCAGGCACAGCAAATTGGCTGTCAAGAATTTCAAGACTGCCCCAGGAACCTCCCTGCTCTCTGAGATAGAGATGCCCAGTACACCTTCCATTGTCACGTTTATAACCTTTTAAAAATAAGTTAAATTTATTTTAAAATAAAAGACTAAGCAATAAATTACAGAGCTGAAAAACAAGGTTACTATACAAAAAATTAGAAAAGAGGAAAAAAGCGCCTTTTCTTAGATCAGTATCCTCAAACGCACAAGGCTTTTGCATGTGCAGACTTTTCTTATTCAAACTTAAAGAGGTGAAGGAGCAAACAAGAATCAGATGCAGTACTTCATTTCTCCTTAAACAATTGTACATGTTTGGCGTTTGCTTGGAATTTTGCTCTTACATCTGCAGATATTTTGAGAATCTGGGCTGATTAGTTTCAGAAGTGCTCCCTGCCAATGCTGAGCTTTCGAGGGGGAGACACATCTGCCTATCAGTCACTGGAGTGATGAGTTGGTTTACACACAATACGTTCAATCTCACGATTACTGAAAGTGAATCCAAAAATGCAGTGGCCACATGAGAGATGATCCATTATAGTTCACTCCGTTGATTCAGGTTTTTTGAAATACTTTGATTTGCAAAAAGTACATGATCTGGAATAAAGTGCTGATAAAGAAGTCCACTTGGAAAGCTAGCCTTACCTACAGCAACTAGACAGGCTGATACCAGATAACACTTTATGATGGCTTATAGTCACTGAAAACAAATGCATCACTTGGTTTGGCCTTGCCTGAAACAACAAGCTAGTGAACAAAGATTTCCTGCCTCAGCTTACAAATCCTGTTCACATATAATACTGCCTTATAAAACTTAATGTAGACATAGGAAATTTATGTCTTTATCCAGCTTCATGCTTAAGCTAGTCTGTACAACCCATCTGGGAAATGTATGCATTACATTATACAAAAGTCTTTTAGGGTAATGCAATACTTCAAAAGCCTAATCCTAAAAAACAACTATTATGCAAGCACCTTATTAACACTGCAGGCATCAGCTCACCCTGCAGGGTTACATGGATACCAACAGCAATGTTTAATGATGGGAATGAAGTCCACAGACCTCACTCATTTCACAGTGCTCTGTACAATGCTGGTAGATCAGATCCCTTTCTGTAAGAGAAAACTTGCACACAGCAATGCTGTACACACAATGTAATTCAGCTTAACACACTACATGGAGGTCTGTAAGGTAGTTTACAAACTAAATATACTTAGAACATGATAGTGCACTGGTGCAACTGACAACTTCTTTCACATATGATACTTAACAGATACATCTTCTCTAGACATGTATCAGCTCCTGACCTATAGCTTGAAACTCAGATGTTCAAGTTGCGCAAAACAGCTTTGAAAACATCCGATTCGCTCCACATTAACCACATAATACATCCATTTCTTGACAAAAGTCCTGGATTTTTGCTTGAAGTAACATTCCTTTGACTGTTATTTTTCTTTGTTCCTCTGACTAATCCCTCCTTCATTTTGTTCCTTCAAATTTGTGGATTTTATTTTTGCCTTTTTGAAGGCAAAAACTACTGTGTTGCACTTCCAAAGGTTTTTCTTTACCTTTGGGCTAAAATGATTAAAAGACTAAAGTGTCATAGGCCTCCTTCCTCAGACTTTACAAAGGTCCTTCAGTCTCAGGTGAGCAGTAAGTTAAAAGCTTACTCATTACATCTTATCACCAAAGCAGTTTGGAAACTTTTGATGTGAAAGAGGTAATGTGTTTTAATGCATTTGATGTTTGTTGGGTTTTTTTCAAGGAAGAAAATGCAAGTAAACTTAACTAAAAATCTAGTTAACATGCTGTAACTCCAAATTGCTAGTTAATTAATTTTTGCTTTAAAGTGTAACTGTTTGAACTTGAAATTAATGTAAACAACTGATACTCAAAAATCATTACCAGGATAACAAGAACAGTTTATAGTTTTTGTCATTTATATGAATTGTTATTGTATTTAATTTTAGTAGCAATTTTATAGAGGATTGGTGTTAAATTTGACTGTCTTCATGTTCAGCATATCAAAATGTGTTTGACAAAATTCAAGAAGACTAATCCATTCTTTTGAAAAGCACTACAGTAGTCAGGAGAGACATGGCAGCACTCTATGGCTGGTTGTTCTGCAGTGTGAAAGGAGAAAGATCCTTGGATGCTGGGCATCCTCCCCAGTGGATTATGACCACCTACACAGCAAGGGGAATCACTTCAGCACAGCTTTTGTGAACAGAGAACTGAAGCTCTGCTTCCCAGTCCCCATCACTGGGTATGCAGATCAAGATCCCCATCTACTCTGCTCTTGTGGGATCCCACCTGGAATGTTCCATCCAGCTCTGGGGTCCTCAGCACAAGAAAGATGTGAACCAATTGAAGTGGGTGGGAGAGTTGGTGTTGTTCAGACTGGAGAAGGGAAGGTGCAGAGGAGACCTTATAGCAACAGTACCTAAAGGGGGACTACAAGAGAGCTGGAGAGGGACTCTTCCCAAGTAGTGATAGGACAAGGGGAATGGCCTTAAACTGAAGGACAGTAAGTTTAGATTAGGTAGTAGAACGGAGAAGATTAGGAAGAAATTGTATGAGGCACTGGAACAGGTTGCGCAGAGAAGCTCTGGATGCCCAGTCCCTGGCAGTGTTCAAGACCAGATTGGATAGACCTCTGAGCACCCCAGTCTAGTGAAAGGTGTCCCTGCCTGTGGCAGGGGGTTTGGAAATAGATGGGCTTTAAGTTCCATGCCAACCGAAACCATTCTGTGATTCTATGATACAGACAAAGTTACCTTGTTAGAAAAATTCTCACACATTCTCAGCTGAAATTGGCACAGGACTGCCTGTAGCTGGGATAACATCTCAAGTGTCCAAGCACCTGAGCCTGTTCCGGCTGCTTAGCTCTTCAAGACAGTTTTTGAGAATGTTTCTAGAATCATATAGGTTGGAAAATACCTTCATGAGTGCAGTGAGAGCTGTCACTGGTGTCTGTCGGTCAGAGACAACTCTTATGTTAATTCACGTGCCCAGAGTGTAATGACCAGCAGAAAGACCAGACCACCTCCGGTTTTCAAAGACAGTACGGAGAACAGCGCGCAGAACGTTAATACAAAATCCTGAAATCTGGAACAGCACAGAAAGACTTCTACAAAAACACACAATCGCTCCTGAGCTCCCGTTGCTCTCCCCCGGCTCCCGGAGGGATCAGGGTGCCCTGGCACCACCTCTCTTCCCCGCTGGCCCCGGGGGCGGCCCGGGCGAGGTGCGGGCGGCCGGGCAGTGCCCGCCTCGCCGGCCGGTTCCGCTCCGCCCTCGCCGTGCGACTGGAGCGGCCGGGGCGGCGGGCACGGGTGAGTGCGAGCGGCACCGCGGGACCCTTCCTCTGCCGGGCGGGGACAGGGGGACAGGCCCCGAGCCCCACGGGGGGCGGCGGCCCCGGGGGTAGCGCCGGGAGTGCGAGGCACGGCGGATCCCGCGGGGCTGCGCGCCCCGCCGGGCTGGGAGCGGGAGCGATCCAGCCCGCTCTCGGCAGTCCTTCGCTCCAGCTCTCTCCTGTCTTTAGTCCCAGCCCTAGGCCCGCCGGGACAGCGGCGAACGCTCAGCCCGCCCTGGACAGGAAGAATTTCGCGAGAGCCGCGCTCCCGGGGCGGGTGGTCGGGGGAGGAAAAGGGAGCCGGCCCTGCGGTGCGGGAACACTGCCTCGGGCTGAGGGGCGGCGTGACGGGGACTCAGCTTTAACCTGAGATCACTGCCTTGGCTCTTTGCAGAGTCAGCAGAGTGAAGAGTTGGCAAGGCACTGAAGGAGACGCAAGAAAAAAAGGGTAAACTTATGTTGATGGGTAACTCCAAAGTTCATAATTGACAATTCATAGCTCTGTTAGATTAAATGAGATTTGTACTGAGATAATCTCATCAATGATAATTGCTTAATATAATTGCAGAAGTGGCAGAACTTGCAGGCTAAAAGATACCTTTCGACTCACATGGCCACATTCTCAAAGCATCAAGACTTTGGCTTTGAATACTGAACATTAAACAGGAGTTTCTGGTTGCTGGCTTGCTCATTTGTTTAAGTTAAGTTAGCATACTTGGTTTGCTGAGGGTAACTTGACTGAGTTCAAGTTACAAGGGGACAAACTCCATCTGAGGTGATAGCAGAGATAGAGGCTCAAAAAAGAATAACTACAGTTGCTCCAGCAGTGGAAAAAACCCAGTGGACATGGAAGTCAATGGTTCTATATCATCACTTATTAGGGGAGGAGGGAAAAGAAGGGTTCCATCAAGAAGCTAGTCCTTGAAAAAAGAAAATGTGGGAAAGTGTGAGGGAATTCAGATAAGAAGCAGAAACCACCCAGTCTAACCTCATCAGAACTTTGAAACATGTGGAAACATTTCAGCCACCAGGTATGTGGAATGGAACTGGCTGCTCTGATGCTGGCATAATGGGACCCAAAATCAGCAGGAAGATAGGGAAGCCCAACAGCTATTCAGCTCTTGGGAACAAAATAAGGGATGTCACCATGTGCTGATGGATGTCATCAAGATACCAGCTATGTCTCCATCAGCTAACAAGGAGGCACTAGCTTTCCTAGGCTTTGGGGAAAGTGCATGTTCCAGGTTATTCGGAATACACATTCTGAAATACACATACAGAAATGAAATACATATTCAGAAATGTTTTCTTTTCCTATTAACAAGATTATGTAGAAATTGA